AGAGCCTACGGCGGCGCCCTCCCTCTCTCCCCGACGGCCTCTCCTCTGCCCTCGTCGGGCGGCGGCAAGTAGGAGGCGCCTCAGCTCCCGCGCCGCCGCCTCCACCTCCACCTCGGCCAAGTCCTCGCCGCCCCCGTACACGTCGACGTGCGTCGGCGGCTGGCCGAGAGACTGCTGCAGCGCGAGGTAGTCGATCAGCAGCCGGTGCCCCTTTGCCCACAGCACCTTTCCCAGGAAGTAGGCGCCGGCGCGGCGCGGCGGGAAGTGCGACCTCGCAGCGCGGCGTCCAATCTCGAGGAACTCGGACCGCACGCCATGCACGTTGCAAACCACCGCGCGCGGAAGGGGCTGGATCGTGCCAGACAGCTTGATGACCCGGTCGCAGTACGCTCCGCACATCCACTCGTTGAGCCGCTTGAGCACGGCGGCGGTGGCTGCGCCGGCGTACATCCTCGCGTAGTAGAGGTAGTTTGTGTGCACCACTCCAATCACCAGCTTGAAGCGGTGCCGCCAGTTGGCGCCCGAGTGGTACCAGTTGAGGTGCTCGGGCTCCTCGAGGACACAGACGTCGCACTCTCCCGCCTCGAAGCAGCCCGTCACGTCGCCTGCGCGGCGGGGTGTCTAGGAAGTGTCTAGGAAGTGTCTAGGAAGTGTCAAGCAGCCCGTCACGTCGCCTGCGCGGCGAGGTGTCTAGGAAGTGTCTAGGAAGTGTCTAGGAAGTGTCAAGCAGCCCGTCACGTCGCCTGCGCGGCGAGGTGTCTAGGAAGTGTCTAGGAAGTGTCTAGGAAGTGTCAAGCAGCCCGTCACGTCGCCTGCGCGGCGCGTCTCGGACGTGTCCGCACACGCGCCGGCAGCGCGTTGAGGCGGCCCGACGCGTCGCCGAGCGGGAGGATCTCTCAGGTGTCTAGGAAGTATCTAGGAGGTGTTTGGAGGTGTCTAGGAAGCGTCGCCGAGCGGGAGGATCGAGCCGCGGTCGAGGTCGTACCTCGCCTGGCGGAGGGAACGACTGGGTGAGTGGGTCGAGGCGGTCACAAGGGAGGTGGCCACGGTGAAGGGAGCGGGAGAGAACGACTCGAGGAACAGCGCCGCTCGGCTAGTCCTCGGCCTGCTAGATCCGGGTGAGAGGTTCGCTCCATCTCTCACCAACTCCGCCAGACTTCGGCCCACCTCTCTACCTCGTCTGTGTGGGCGGGCTGCTCGCCGGGTAAAAGCGCAGCCGAAAGTCCGCGCGCACGCCTCCCCGCTCCGCGAGCCAGAGTCGTATGTGCCGCTCTTGAGCCTGCGGGTCGGCG